TCCTCCTAAACCTATGAACGATTTTTTAACATCACCTCATACGACAATTTTTTGACCAATAAAATGCTCTCTAGTATGTGACATGACCTTCATAATAATTAATTCTGATTTAAATAGCCGTAGTTTCAGTCCTTCAGTTGATTAGGCAATAAAACTTTCCAAAGAGCCATGTCATCACGGCCAGATAAACAGTTTATGACTAGGATTCACCAGACTGATCACAACACTTCACAAACAATGAAGTGCTAAATATAATCCCATGAGAGTGAATTCTGATAACCCTCATTGTTAAAAATAGGCTGCGCAGACTTACCTCTCATTCAAAATGTCATTCAGGGTGCTCAAAATGGAATCCAACTGTTTCACTAGGACCTGTAAAGCAAAAAACACTCATTAAAAAAAAAAAAAACTGTTAAATAAACACTTTACATCAGAACCCATTTGTGCGTGTCAGTTCATACCACTTTATTTTCAGAGTGCACAATGAACTCCTTCATTTGTTTCATAGTGGCCAGTCTGCGTTCCCGGTCATCTTCCCGTGATGCTCTCCGCAGAAGATTGGCCAGACGAGACTCCTCAGAGTGAGCCAACGGTCGGTCTGAGAAATAACAGAGAATGTGAAGAAGCTAATGAATAAATGAATTTATCTACTCAAGTTAAGCCAATTCTTTCACAGCAAGCAATGCATGAGGTCCTGTGAGGTGAACATACCCTGTGATTTCCTCATGTCCTTTGTAGCTAAAGCACGGTTTCCATGCTGAAAAGTGGTTATATCAGTAGTCACATCATTAATTCTCAACTCTTGCCCCAGCGACTTCCAACCATAAGCATTTTCAGAGAGGCCTCCATCAGCGTCGTATCCACCTACAAAGCAGGAATATTGTCAGTTCCCTTCAATAAAAGAAAAACATTTGTTTGAAGTTAGTTAGTTTTCTGTTCGCTCTGTTGTGCCAGCAGCAAAGCTCTATGCATAATAAGCAAGAGAACAGGAAATGTATGTTGTCTAATCTAAAGATGAACCTTGAACAAACTCTTTTTACAGTATGAATTATTTCATGATTTATAATGAATTATATTATTATGAATGATTTATTGTAAATTAAAATGATGATTATACAATAACTTGGTTATTTATATAACTAAAAAATAATCAACTATATTAAAAAATAATATAATTTTTTTAAAATATCTGTATATGTTTATGGCCAGCCATAAAAAATAAACAAAAACAAGAAAATGATCAAATATTTATTAAATTAAACATCTTCAATAAACAAAATTAAAAGTAAACATAGTCTAATTCACACAGGGAAACTCTGGGACCTTCCAAAAAAGGAAGAAAAGCACCTGGTGATTTTACTTTCTCTTTCCATTCCCAAAAACAGAAACATTAACTAGTAAAACACAACAAATATGACACAATCAACAAACCTGCAGATATCAGACCAGTAGAACGGCAAGCAATTGATGTTGAAAGCCACAATAATACAGGTAAAGACACTGGTGGATGCAACTGAGCTGATTAAAGGCTGGCTAAACAAAAGGCCAGATGAAGCATGTACGTACCTCCCTCTTCGAGTGCATCGGTGGCAGTGAAGGCGTCATTGTGCAGTGGTGGGGTGCCAGGCCGGTCAGAGGGCAGAATTTCAAATAGAACTTCTGAACCGCGGTCTCTAGAGACACTGCACTTCACACCGTCCTGGCTGGCTGACAGACTGTCGCTTCTGAAAAGCATTCGATATACCATCAGTGATTTCACAGGCTAAACTAACCCACTAAGTGTCCATGTGTATGTTGATGTCAGCAGGCTGAAGCTTGACAAGAGCTGTTCAGCAAGCAAAGTAAAAAGGGTCAAACTTTGTACAAAAGCAAACAAGAAAGCAAGCGATAGTCATTTACACTAATTAAAAAACGTGAAACGGAATGATTTCTTATTCTCAAAATGACTGTTTTGTATTTATTTAATATATTTCTGCGATGACTTGATTATCAGCATGTATTATTACTCCACTCTCCAGTGCCACAGGATCCTTCAGAAATCTTTCTTTATGCTAATACTGGGTTCAAGAAACTTTTATTACCACCAGACTGAAAACGATTCAGCAGCTTAGATTGTTTTTATTTTTATATTTATAAATAGAAAGTTTAAAGAAATAATAATTTCAACAGATCACAAAAGACTAAAGAATGAGATAGAAAGAAACATTTACATCAAACCGTTAAAACTAACATTTTACCCCAAAACTTTTTATTTTATCTTGATTTACTTTGTCAGTAAAACATTTAAGATGATTTTATTATAAATTTAAGTCAATGACTACCACCATTTTAAACTGAAAGAAATGTGTTAATAGAAGACAAAAAGAATTCGGTGGCTATTTGTTGGTACAAGGTCTTATGAAGCAAAACAAATGATCTGCGCATCAAACTTTTACAACACTATTACAAACAATCCCCATCTTTGGCAAATCGTCCTGAGAATCCATGATGTAAACATCAACCTTTTCTCCACTGAACAAAATATATTTTATTTTGAGAAATATCAAAACTATTTTGAACCAGTAGCTTTTCATGTGGCGGTCATTTTTTGCTGGAGATACTGCTGCCCTAAAAAAACTAAATTAAATAGTTGTAAAAACACCTAAAACCAAAACTTACATATACAGTAGGAACGGAATAACAGAAAATTTACGGTTTTAAACCTTGACTTTTCCAAACTGCGGTAAACCTTAAAACCGGTTATCATCCCATGCCTACTTCCCAATGCATACAATGATGTACACATGAGTGCAAACTCACATCACAGCTTTATTATAGGAAGCAGCATCCAGAAAAGCATAAGTACACTATGAAGAACAATACTAGACATGCATCACCCATCTTTTTTTGTTTTCATCAGGTTAAGTGAGGGTCTGCATTTACATGTGTCAGCTTGTGCTACAGATATTCCTGAACACACTGGATGGTTTGCCAAGGCTCTGGATTAATTGTGATAACGGATCATAATGGTGATTTAGCTTCCAATGTAACATTCGGTATAAATGTTTCCTGTATTTTTGCAACTCTCAAAGTTACAGTAGCTGCTCGGTGCCATTTTTTGAATAACAAAGGCGAAAAACAACTTTAATGTTCTAATAAAGTCAATAAAAAATGTAATCACGCATGTCTTTGATTTATGAACGCAGGTCAACATCATTTTATTATTATAGTGCGAACTATTATCAAAAATGACATGGTATTTTTCATTAATTCATTCGAACATTTCAACATACTCAAAGTCCAATTTAAATAAAAAATATTTTAACTTAAGAATCTGAACAATTTACAAAATACTGCAATACTAATGCATCCACTGCTCTGAGTGACAGCCTGAACTACTGACCTCTATATTAGCAACACAGAAACAACTCATTTGGATGAAGACTTAAAAATAGATATATCCACTTCATAAATCTTCTCGAGAAGTTCATAAAATTGGTCCTGCATCCGGGACATATCGACAAGACGTCATTTGACAGTCCAGCTGAGATTTCCATTTTCCACATGGTTTCAAAAATGCAACGCAACTGAAGCGATCTGTTAAAGTTAAACAAAAATAATTACATAAAGTAGTTCCTTCAAAGTTCATATGCTGCCGAGACATTGACTGATCGTCGGAGAAGTTGAAGATGATTCAAACCTACTGCACGATTAAAGTTCAACGCACTCGTTGGCAATTTGAGCTTCCACAAACTGAGCTCAATTCGATAGTACGCCCGAACCATGAGCAGGTCCCAATTAAAATGTTCAACGTTTAAAATGATCTGTTAAGATTAGGAACGAACAATCGGTGCACATTAAAGGGTAACGTTAACGATACAATTTGAGCATAACAAAATTGGTGAATAAACGGACTCGTGATTTGCGTGAGTTAAACAAGAGCTGAATAATCAGTATGTGGCGAATTACAGTACTCATTTATGAAATGTAGCATTACCTGCTGCAATATGAACCGATTTTATACGTTTTGTAGCTCGTGGCTAAACGTGTCAAACCACACGCGTGTTTCATCACACAAACCACAAATGAATGCCACGACACACGCACACATCAGCGTGTCGGTCAAATACACACAACCCCTCGATTTACAGCCATATTTAAACTTAGCCGACAAACCAGTTCTTGCGAACAAACATCAGCAGGATAAATAACGCCAGTGGTGACCGATTGTTTGTGAGTTAGCCTATGCTAACATCGGCTAACTAACCCGAAAAACGAACACGAGCGTTTGACATTTATATGTTTAACTTGATATTCACACTGACTGAAGTTCAACGACAATTTTGAGAGATGTGATGTGAAATGAAAGCTTAAAAAGCCTCCTCACGTGGAAACAGAGAGCTGTTGTGTTTGATAAAGAGGCGGACGAGAGCGAGGCCTCAACGAAGCCTCGGTCTATATACTCGGTCTCGGCGCCTGGTGAGTTACTAACCTGGGCTGCCAGTCATTCCAGTTTCGCTGCAGTTTGTGGGCGCTGCTCAGCCGAGACCCGAGGGCTTTGCGGCTCATTACCTTTGCGAAGACAGCATGACCCGTCTAGCACGGGAAGAGTCCTCAGACAAACCCTAATATCGCCGTTCAGCTTATGTCCATGCACAGATTTGAAATTCACAGAGTGTGTTTGAAACTGAGAAGCAGCGGCCTGACCCTCCCATCTATTTCTCCACTTTCCTTCCCCGCGGTTCACACGGTGGCAGCGCCATCTATCGGCGGACATGAACAGCTGCAGCATCTATTGTTATTAGTAATACAGATGCCGAGGCAAATGCATTTCCCATGGTGCCGCACAATAGCTCAAACACTTAAAATAACTCCAAAGTTGTCGGCTCAAATGAAGCTCAAAATAAACTAGTGACAAATGTGGGCTAAGCAAAAAAGCAATTAAGTGAATGTGAGATTTCACCTGAACTTCACTTAAAAATAGATTCATCTGTTGGCGTTGCACGATTTACTGTGTGCGGTTGCCTAGTGACAACATGTCGGATATGAAATGGAGTAAAAACGAGCTTCAACCAGACAGGGAGGAAAAACAAGGTAAAATACCATGACTGAAACCAATTTGGAAAATTTACAGTAACGTTACACCCCAAAATGTTCACGTTATGAAAAAAATCACGCTTTGTTTCATTTCAATGTGCTTCAAAATCCTCATATGCGTTTGGTACATCGCTGATGTCTGTGGCATCCATTTAGCGCATTATAAGAAATATCATAGGTCTTCTATCTTCAACTTCTGGTTTGGATGTGATAGTGTTGCTCATATGTTCTCAACGCCATATTTCCACGTTGGGCATTTTTTCTTTAGGGGAATGCACAGCAAAATCATTCATTCATTCATTCATTCATTCATTCATTCATTCATTCATTCATTCATTCATTCATTCATTCAATCATTCATTTAACTTATTTTTATGTTGTTGTGAAGCATAAGTATCTAAAATTATTAAAAGAATATACACAAACTATCAACCATTGCAGGGAAAAGTTCACCCAAAAATCTAAATTCTGTCATCAATTCTGAACCATCTGATCTAAATTAATAAATTCAAAACCATCGTCTCCCATGTTTATTCAACCTTCACATTTCACAAACTGGTTTAAGTTTCTTTCATCTGTTGAATACAAGATATAAATGTTGGAAACCTGTGGCTATTGACTTCATAGTACAGTATATAGTATTCCACATTAGTTTTTTTTCCCAGCATTGCTGTCAATTTTCCAATATACTTCAAAGTGAGGTGAGTAATAGTGAAGTTTTGAGCGAACTGCCCCTTTTACACAATGCCTAACAATTCTCTGAAGATCCCAATATATAGTTGTTTTAACTTGTTTAACTTTTCAATCACTGTTTTTAATCTTAAAACATAAGGCTCGTTGATTAAAAATAATCTTGTCTAGAACCGGAAAGTTATTTAAATAGAATGTGCCATATTCAAATTAAATTTCTAATTATGCGAAGCTGTATTATGAGTAAAATATGTTTTTAAAAAATCAATACGAAGTAATTATTGTTTGATTATTTGTTTAATTTTGAGGTCTCGTTTATATGTTTGGACAGTGGAGGTCCTTGGATGCTAATAGATTGAGAAACCCTCACTGAATTAGGAATAATTTATAAAGTAATAACAGAAACTGTACTACAATTAACAGAAGCTGTAATGTTCCTTGTGTGTCTGTGTATGCCTTTTTACTAAATCCTATAAAATATAACGCTAAACACAATGCAAAGCATTCAGATATACAGCTTTTATGTTTAAAAGTTGATGGTTAATGTTTTTAACAGTGTTTGTAGTGGAAACAGGGGGCTCAGTGGTTAGCCTCAGCATGAAGGTTGCTGGTTTGCGCCCTGGCTGGGACGCATTTCTGTGTGTTCTCCCTTTGTTCGTGTGGGTTTCCTCCAGTTTACCCACAGTCCAAAGACATGCGGTATAGGTGAATTGGGTAAACTAAATTATTCGTAGTGTCTGTGTATGAATGTGAGAGTGTATGGGTGTTTCCCAGTACTGAGTTACCTGATGAATAAAGGGACTAAACCAAAGGAAAACAAATTAATGTAGTGGATGTATATATATATATATATATATATATATATATATATATATATATATATATATATATATATATATATATATATATATATATATATTTTTTTTTTTTTTTTACAATAGTTTGCCAATATATTTTTACTGTTTTAAAATTGTTAACCCCCTTGTTCAGGTATTTCATACTATTAATTTCAAAATAAAAAATTATTTTGTATATTTTTTAGTGAACGCGTATATATTCTGTAGATTTTGTTAACGTTTTTGATCTACAGTTGGCAAAATGAGGGGTCCACCGAACTTTAAACCTCTACAAAAACATTTTATTTTCAGATAATTAATACAAAATATAATTATATAATTAATACAAAATATAAAAAAAATAATTATCAAGCCATTTTGTGTAGTTGGCAAATCTTTGGTTTTGTATATGCATCCACCACACCCTGATTACATCATTACACCACAAGATGGTAGCAAGGAGCTAAAGCAGGATTCAGGATTCAACAACTAATTTCCACATTTCCCCCTCCTACTTTTTGTCACATATATCTTGCAGTAATATCATAACAATACAAACATTTCACTTGTTCCAGAAATTATTAGAAAGAGATGGTCCACTAAAAGTGCATATTCTCGTTCACAGAGCTTGTAGCTGTAATATCATGCTGTGCTTTATGGCACCCTTGCCCACCTCAATGCATGTATTGAAGTTGCTAAGCAACAGTGTGCACAATAAACACTGTAGCAGTAGTACACAAGGGTGACATCTGGTAACTTAAATACATTATCCAGCTCATAGCGTCTTGCTGCACCTTATTGTTTATTTACAACTAAGTTGCTGTATATTTACACTACCGCATTTATGTGATCTGTGAACAATCAAAAATCCTTAAGCACTGCAGAAAGCGTAATTTTATGGGAAATGTTCACTGGAGGTCAGCAGAAAACTCTCATAATTAACAAAACGTGCATCTGTTCATTGTACTGCAACAGGAAGTGCTGAATATCACAGCTGTTGCTTATCTAATGTGCTCTACACCTGGGGGATTACAAGCAATGCAGGAAAATGAGGCAAAAGGTAATCAGCTGCATTTTCCTGGAATGAATCATCTTTTTTTCTTAGTGTAATATGTGCAAGAACATGTTTTACAGAACTCTACCAATAAAATGGGTGTGATTTGTTTTTACCGCATGCATGATCATCACCTGGCTTTGAAATGAATCAAAATCAATACAAGACTCAAAAAGGGTATTTTTAGCTTGCTCACATGTCTCAGTTAATCTTCCTCAAATGGATCTCGGAGATGCTCAATGATGCACTGGAAATGTCTACTTTCTCATTGCTGGCTTGGCTGAAAGCATATGATCCAGAGAATGAATGTTTGATTTTATGGTCCTTAAAAAAAGATAATCAATGTACACTCTTAAAAAAAGGTAAGATTCTTTATTGGCATTGATGGTTTCATGAAGAACATTGAAAATCAATTAATTAAAAACATTTTAATTTCACAAAAGGTTCTTGCTAGTGGTAAAAGGAGCTTCAATTCAATTCATATTTATTTACATAGTGCTTTTACAATGTTGATTGTGTAGAAAACTTCTGATTATTAAAAAGTGATTTCACTGTAAAAAGCAATTAGCTACTATACATAAAAATGAGTAAAACTATTGCCTTAAAAGTGACAAGTTGACATTACCTTAAAAAGTGAGTAAAATTTATTTTTGCACATAGTTTATTTACTTACAATTTTAATGTAAAGTGTTTAACCCTTTAACTGCCTGCTCTACCAAATGGTTGACCATATTTTGCCTGTTTTAAATAATGACTGTTAAAGAATGACTGTTTTAAATATTGGTTTACACGCACAGCATTGTTGGTTTACAAAAAAAAAAAAAAAAAAAAATCAAACAAACATAATCCTGTTGCACTACTACACTTGATTTTTGTTTTGTTTTTGTAAAACAGAAAAAAGAGAATCTGAAATATTTATAGCATACTGCAATAAATAAAGATGATTTAGTATTCAAAAATGTTTTATTTTGATCATTAAAATAAATAAATTGGTCTTACACTTCATATTTTCATATTTCTTTATAATATATGTATTAATTCTAGAACTTTTACCATAAATAGACATGTCTACCATTTTAGAAATCATGGGATGTGTGGAAAAATTTAGCATTGAGCGTGTTAACTAGCGACATTAGGAGTTAAGAAATACAATCGGAAAAAAAAAAATCTTGGTGGGGCAGTTAAAGAGTTAAAGCACTTTAGCTTATTTTATTAATTTACTCAGGTTTCAACTACATTTTTAAAGCTATACATTTATTCATTCATTAATTTTGTTTTTGGCTTAGTCCCTTTATTAATCCGGGATTGCCCGAGGGGAATGAACCGCCAACTTATCCAGCACGTTTTACGCGATGGCTTTCCAGCCACAACCCATCTCTGGAAAACATCCACACACACACTCTGTCACACACACACTCATACACTACGAACAATTTAGCCTATGCAATTAACCTGTACTGCATGTCTTTGGACTGTGGGGGAAACCGGAGCACCCGGAGGAAACCTATGCAAACGCAGGGAGAACATGCAAACTCCAAACAGAAACGCCAACTGACCCAGCCGAGGCTCGACCCAGCGATCTTCTTGCTGTGAGACAATAGCACTACCTACTAAAGTTATACAAATTTAGCTTATTTTTAGTAGGTTTGATTAATGTAAGTTGAAATGAAGATTAGAAAAGTTTATTTGATTCAACCAAAAAGAATGCAGGCAGCAAGAATTTAAAAAAGTAAAATCAATTAACTGCTTTTTACAGTGTATGAAAAAATGCATTTTTTAAATAATTGTAAGTTAAAGTAAAAAAAAAGTTTTATGGCATCATTATACCGCACATGAAAAATAAGTACTTTTTAGTAAATACTGTTATAGTGTTTTTGAACCATACTATTGTAATACTTAATTTGTTAATAGCCAAATTGTTGTGGTAATTCTATAGGTGCTATTGTAGTTTTTTACAACTATACTAAAATACTGTGGTTAAAATTTATTTCTATAGCGCTTTTACAATGTAGATTGTGTCAAAGCATCATAGAAGTTGTAGTAAACTGAAACTGTCTCAGTTCAGTATTCAGAGTTAAAGTTCATTTCAGTGTGGTTTAATTTTCAATGCTGAAAGTCCAAACACTGAAGAGCAAATCCATCGATTCACAGATCAAGTCCTAAACCAACAAGCCAGTGGCGACAGTGGCGAGGAACAAAACTTCACCACTTGACAAAAGTGAAGGAAAAAAACTCGGCTCAGTTAGTTTGACCATTTCTCCTCTGGCCAAACTTGTGCGGAACTGGAGTCTATGCGCTGGAGGCTAAAGTATCAAATCTAAATAAAATCTAAAGTAGAATCCAAAGTATACTACAGCTTTTATTACAGGTTCTCAGATCACTGTTAATGCAATACAGTATGCCAAAGCATTCAATAA